CTGGAAAAGAAAATATATGAAGTAAATGACTGGTTTGTATGATCTGAGTCTGTCCGTCTTTCTAGGGGCTGCCCTGCTATTTATACTCGTCAGTGATGACCTTCGAACTGCACTTCGAACCGTCGAACTGCTCCTCCATGATCGCTGATCATGCTTCCTTACAAGTAGCTCCATTACGCCATTACTGGCAGTTGAGCTTCCCTCTTGTATTTGGATTTGAATATGAGTAACCGTTGAAGACACGTCATCTTGCATCTCGTTATTTGATCTAGTGTTACTCAGATCATGTGAGGACCAATATTTATTGCCACGTGTACGATCAGGATTAAAGGCTTGAATAACCTTCCTTTATTACCCTTACTATGCCACGTGTCGAACTGTAACTGGCTTTTACAAAATATGTAGCCAACAATAACTTTATAATTTGATTTAAAAATTTAAGATTTTGAATGTTTTGCATGTGTCAAGAATCGATTTTGTTGTATTTTTAATTTTATAAGTTTTAATTCATTAATTATTAATGTTTTAAAGTAATGGGGAAAAATAGACCCAAGTTTTATTTTTTAAAAGAAAAATTCAATCAGCAAATCGCCCGCATATGCGCGAACCCTATTCATATAAATTGTAACCCGCACTGCAGGCGGTTGTAGGTTCAATTTTTTTTAAATTGCAGACATGCAGGCTGGTTCGAACTACAAACCAAACCGTCCAAAACCAATCCACGACCACCCCTACTTTAGAACGTAGTCAAGAACTATAGTTGGACATAACCAACTTTGATTTGTTACAATAATATCATAATCAACATTAATGTAAATTATAACTTATATATATATATATATTACACCATAGCCCTAAACATATATACTTGCATGTGTGTAATTTAAGTAGGTAAACAAAAAATGACAAATGTAATAATATCATAATATGTAAGTGTTGGTGTGTGTGCAATTCAAATAAGTAAAAATAAAATAAAATGGCAAATGCATTAATATCATAACATCGAAGGAGTAGGGGCTTTCTTTGCTAGATTCACTACAACAAAAATCACTTTTCGCTACTAAAATTGCAGTTTTCGTCGCTGAAAGTAGTCCAATTGGCGACTAAAATTGAATTAGTCGCTAAAATTGATCACTTTTGCCGACTAAAAGAGTTTAGTCACCAAATATTATAGCATTGGCGACTAAAAGGCAGTTTAGTTGCCAAATATAGGGGTTTTAGCGACAAAAGATTTTTTAGTAGCCAAAAGTCACGGTTTTTGGCGACTAAAATAATTTAGTAGCCAAAAGTGATGGTTTTGGCGACCAAAAACCAGGTTAGTCGCTGAATGTGCAGGTTTTTGGCTACAAAAAAAAATTAGTAGCTAAAAACTGACAATTGCCGACTAAAACAGGCTTAGTAGCCAAAAGATGACATTTTTGGCGACTAAAAACAGATTTAGTCGCCAAAACTGCTTTATTTTTAAACGGAACTTAATTTTTTAGCGACAAAAAATAATTAGTAGCCGATAATTATAGCATTGGCGACTAAAAATTGATTTTAGTCGCCAAAAGTGGCCTAAATTTTTTTTTAATAAATCATTTATTTTTTACATAAATTATATTTGAATAAAAATAATTATATTTATAAATATTGTTTTGTATTAATATCGGACAATATACTATATAAATAATATATATTTCATATATATTCATGTGATGTGTAGTGGCATAGTGGAGGGAGTGTGTTGTTAAAGGTTTGGAATGTTGGACGGCTGCGGTTCGAAACTCAGAAACAGCAAGAAAATGGGATTTTTTTTTTTTTTGACGGAAACACCTTCGGCGACTAAAAAGTTAGTCGCCAAAAGTCTTTATTTTGGCGACTAAACGGTTTAGTCGGCGTTTGATTGAGTATTGGCGACAAAATTATTAGTCGGTAAATGTATGATTTTCAAATTTAGTCGCCAAAGGTGATTTTTCTTGTAGTGATTGAAGATCTAAGTTTCGAATTTCGTCCTTAAAAAGAGAAATAAGTAAATTCACTTGGCAAGTATGATGATGGACTTCAATGGACAATGGTGTATATATATATATATATATATTAGTATATACAAAACATACAATTAAGGGAGAGTTTGAAATGAACCTAAATGTTTTTTTTTTTTTCTTTTTCTGTAATAATTTTTTTATGGATTCATTTAGTGTAGAAAGATCTAAAAGGTTCGAAAAAGTTTACCAAAGATTGAAAAAAAAAATGAGTCAAAAGAACCAATTTTTTTTAAAATCTTTGGTGAACCTTTTTTCATTATATTTATTATTATTATTTTGTTCCGTCTCGTTAGGTAGAAACTTAAAGTGAAATTTTTTTAAAAAAAATAAAAATAAACAATTCATTAAAAACTAAAAAACAGCCCTAAAAAGTAATTTCCAGACACAATAGTGTGTATTATGTTATCTACATTACAAATATATGTATACACATGGGGTGCGTTTGTTTGGAAGGACTGGATAAGGGGGGATTGTAATTCATCGGACTATTAATCTTGGGATACATTGTCCCGAAACTATTTGGTTGGACTAAATTTGTATCTTATATTTGTTTAGTCATGGGATTAGATGTCTGGATTGGACTATTTTTAGTTATCCAATGTTTGTTTGAGATATTATGGAGAAGGATAAATACTCAAATGACTATTTTATCCTTTTCAATTATTTACTAAGTAATAGCAATATTAAACATAACTTTAATATTTTAATTATTTTTAGATAAATTAAATAAAAATTTGTTTTATTTTATTTTTTGCACTATATTTTAATGATTTTAATTTAATTATAATTTATAATTTATATTTTTTATTTAATATATAATTTTAAATTAACGACAATAAAAAATAATTTTATTTAATATAGAAATTTAATTTTTTAACAACACTAAAAAAATTTAATTTATAAAGCCATAATTTATAATTTATTATTTTTAATTAAATTAAATTTATAATTTTTAATTAAAATTTTTTATTTAATATATAATTTTAAATTAAGAACACTAAAAAAATAATTTATAAATGTTCAAAAGACTATTTTATCTTTTTCTAATTGTTTGCTAAGTAATAGCTTAGAGGGTAAAATGGACATTTCACAAAATAATTTCATGGGATACCAATCTCATGGTTTCTATCCCACCTCCCTCCATGGGACTTGTCACGACCTGCTCCCCGTACCCAAGGGTTAAGCATCGTGATGGCTAGTAACTGAGGTTACCTCCGGCCAATTCTTAAACAAATCAAATAACGCGAGCGGAAGTAATATTTAAATAAGGGTACCAAAATAATTATCGGAGTTTCTATTTTTATTACAAAATTTATTAACCAAAAAGGTCGATATTTACATATAAAAATGTCATAAAAGTGTTGTGTGTGTCTATTCCGCAGCCCCGTATCTAAGACTTTCCAAAAGCTATTTCTCAATTGCATATTTCCTGAAAATTGGTAAACAGCTATAAGTACATGGCAGAGTGAGAAATATTATACCAAGAGTATAAGGGACACGAAACAACTATGGATAGTTAGTTAGGCCAAAACATTTACATAACTTAGTCGGAACAAATAATCCTTTAAGTAGCAAAACTGAGATTATGTAAACAAATCATTTAAGTGGCAAAAGTTAAAATACAGAAATTATGTAAGTAAATGACCATAGCCACGGTACTGAACAGAACAGAACAGAGGTCACTGAAGTGACAGTCAGAACAGAGGTACGAATTCAAGAGGTGGCTCGTATAGATTCTAGAGGTGGCTCCCACAATAGTGTAGCACTTAGTTCCTCACAACACTTTGGTCCGCACAGAACAGAGGTAAATGGATCCATGACAAACAAAGGACCACAAAGTGGTCAAACAGAGGCCAATGGTTATTTAAGTCCCCCAAGGCATAAGACTCCCGTGGTAGTACTTACAAAACATAATTGTATATAAAGTCATAACCAAATATTCACTACTACAAATACACATAAAGATCATATTTTTTTGTGTGATGTATGTTTTTTAATCACACTTTTTAAGTTTTATTAAAGTGTGGTCTTTGAGAGTGTGATTAAAAGGGGTTATTTTTAATCACACTTTTTAAGTGTCATTAAAAAATGCTTTCAACACATCTTTTAAGTGTGATTAAAAATATTTAGATCACACCTTTTAAGTGTGATTAATAATATTTAGATCACATCTTTTAAGTGTGATTAAAAACATTTAGATCACACCTTTTAAGTGTGATTAATAACTAATAAAACCTGTGATAAAAAAAAAAGAATTCGACATATTTGAAGAATAATCAATATTATTTTTGTACGCGCATTTGAACAATATAATACACACTATATACTATATTTTGAATCACAACCATATATTGAATGAAATAACGCCATATATTTCATAAATGAAAGTTAAATGTTCAAAAGTATATACAAAGAAATTAATAAAAAGTTTTTAATTGTGATTACATATATTAAAAAATAAAAAAAAAACTTGAAAAAACTAAGTTATTGAATTCTTTGACCATATTTTGCATCTCTCCAAGAAATTTCTGACCTGAAAAAAAAAAAAAACAAATTAATTCAGAAACCGCTAGAAGCATATGAAAAAAATTACTATTTTTGTAGAGATTGTTCTTGTCTTACAGAAGACAAAATTGAACATTTTCTCATCACACTGACTCTTCATCCCCTGCATCAATAGAAATAAATAACGAATTTGTTTATTACTAGTATAAAATGTTTGTATTACCATATAAAAATTTTCTTAATTTTATTTTTTTAGGGTAAATATTTTATATTTTAAATATTTAATTATTATTTTAATATGCACTATATTTCATACATTTGTGTGCTGTATTTTTTAAAAAATATTTTTTAAATATTAAAAATTTTACAAAAATTATTTTTTATTTAACTATATAATTTTTTATAAATATTTTATTTTATTTATAAATATATTTTTAAATATTTTAATTTTTTTTGTTATGTGTTTGGTTACAATTTGAGTGTGGAGTTTTAAAAATAGTATGGAGTTTCGAGTTATGTGTTTGGTTATGAGTTTTCAAAACTCATAACAAAACAAATATTCTCTTTTAAAAACTCAACTCACAATTTCACAGTTAAATTGTAACTTTACACTTGAATCATAATTCCAAAACTAAATCAACCGGAGCGTTTTTAAAGGAATTTTAATGCTTATGTAGGTTTCCAATGAGAGGTTGAGAAGGATCCTCGGAAATAAAATTTTCATGTATATAATTCTACCAACTATGAATTATCAGTGAATAGGAACAACAAGCTGGTAATTACAGTAGATGTCCCAAATACCAAAAAAATAGCAAATTGAAGACTCAAATTTTAAGAGCAACAGTTTGCTAGTTCGCACTAGTTTGAAGCTATATGCATGAAGTCGAACAACATGTGAGAAAAGAACTTTATCATTCCCAAGAAAACTTTTTTTTTTTAAAAAAAAAGGGAGTCCAAAATGCAATGTACATATAGATTCCGTGACAAAGCAAAATGGGCAAAGATGCAACACGCCTTGCAGCCTCCTGTGATACTTCTATCTTGTTCCTCAATGTCTTGCATAAACTTGCTGTTAACTAATAAGCATGGTAATATTTTGAAGAGCACTATAAGGTGCACACATTACATCTTTACTTGCGAAAAGATTTATGAATCAACAATGAGTGAGTCCTACTTGAGATGACACTGTACAAAACTTATTAGCTATTTTGGTCACCTTGGAACTCAATATAATATTAGTTTGAAGACAATTCCAAATATGGCCAGAGGGAGCTATCAAATGAGATATCTCAGAATCATCTCATACGAATCTTATTTTATTTGGTAAATTGGTTATTTTCAACATGGGAAAACAGTACATATAACAGAGGAACAAAGAGGAAATGAGAAGGAAGATATTGTATTCATACCTTGAACCAGGAAGCCAACCACTTAGACCAACAATAGCCCTCAAGTTAACAGGGTAATCGATCTCATTTCCATATTTTCCCTGGGCAAAACAAGTTGCAGAGTAGAGGGCAGTTGCAACACCCATACTAAAATCCCCGATACCAAGTTTAACTGTAAATGAGTTAATACAAAAATAAATAATTAAATGAAAAAGTATAGAATTCCTAAACAACACAGTGATAATTTATTCATGATAGTTAATGAAACTTTTTATCACGATAGATAAATGAACTACTAACTAAACACATGGAAATTAAGTAATTTAGTGGCCTATAATCAATGAAGTAACAAGGCAGAAACTTACTATCAGCAGGCTCTGTTGACAACAAGTTTGCAATATGCGCTACCGAAGCGTCTAAACCTTCGAAATCATCAGGACTATCTTCTGAAAGTTCTCTAACGTCAAACCCTAATACGAAACCACAAAAGCACTTTAGATAATTGTATCAGTATCTCAGCATTGGAAGAAATCTAAGCGTTAATCTTACATGCAGTGCGAGGGAATCCACCAAGTATAGCCACTGGGCAAGTAGGAGCAGTTGGGCATATCCACTTGATCTGCATCACAAAATTTCAGCATAAAAAAATGATAAGTACCAACTAAGTTTTGCAAAAATCAAAGAACCATATACACGTGCATGGTCACGAGGCTAAGCATAAAGTTCAAAAATATTTCAAGGGATACGTGTCCTTACATTTAGAAGAGCAAATTTTGCAAGAGTTGGGACCAGCTGCAATAACAAACACAACACATAATAAACATTCTAATTATGTGATTCCTCAACTGATTATAGCCTAAAGCATCAGATTTAGACAAATATATTGTAGCAAACTTAGAAGTTTAGATTAGCATAAAAATAGTAACTCGCACCAATCCTGATGAAAGGTAACTATATTGAAAACTTTCAAATTGAATAATTTGATACTATAATACGGAATACAGAGGCACAAAGACTTGTACAGCAGGATATGAGAAAGAAGGGAATAAAGAGGCACAAAGACTTGCATAGCTACAAATTTCTTGTGGAAGCTTCGAATGTGGATGTTTAAAATGTCAGGATATCTAGTATAAAAATGCAAAAGTTTTCCTCATCTCCTGTATTCCTTTGTCCAATGCTGTGATAATCTTCATTTTTGTATTTTTCAGACTGTGCCTGAAACAAGCTTTCAAAGAGCTTCATTTGCAACAAAACTCTTCTATCTATAACAATACATGCCCAATTTTCTATTCTTTGCAAGAAAACTCTTCTATCTATAACAATACATGCCTAATTTCAACTTTCAGTCCAATAGATCCCAATGAAACTACCAGATAATGCGTGGCACTCGAAAAGAACCTCATTAATGAGAAGCTTCTAAAAGCACACTAGAATGATGCCCACCAATGCGTTCTAGTGCTTTGTTTTAAGTAAACACACACAGCTTAAGACTGTCTAGAATCACTTCAATGATGGTTTTGGTATGCTTCTTGTAGAAGCCTTGACAGCCTTTTGATTTTAACCCTAGGGTTTCAGCCATTAGCATCCATTTTGTACATCAGTGGGGTCTATGTAATTAGCTGTTGGAAGACTGGAACTGCCAATTAATATTAGTTCATCTATTGTGATACACTTTGAGATCTTTCTGAAAATTTGATAAAATCACAAAAGAACAAAAATAAATAAATAAATAAAATAAAATTATAATACAAAATTAACTTGAATAATGAAGGGGACAAATGTAAATATTCATGCATTAGTAATTTTGCATACAAAAATTCAGTTCATATAACGTTCAAGATTCAATAGAATATTTATTACTCCAATTCTCAGCAACCAAACAGAGAAAAGAACCCCACATTGACTATTTGCTTCATTTTCTCAGCAAACAAAAAAACAAAAAAAGACCTTTATGCAATTTTTGGGAAACAAATAGAAAATTGGAGTGATTAGAGGAGTACCTGAGAGGGAGGAGAGAGTCAAGTTCGTACTGGATCTCATTGCGAAGACAAAAAGTCATTCCCCTTTTCCCCTTCCCCTCCTCTCACCTCTCCCCAGCAACCCCTTTGGTAACCATCCTCCAGGACCAAACTCAGTAATCTCCTCACCTATCCCCCACTCCAACGATCCAACTATCTCTTCCCAGCCCCTCTGCTATCGCAGAACCATGAGAGAGAGAGAGAGAGGGAGGGGGGAATCCGAACATACCTAGATCAAAGCAAAGAGAAGAGAATAAGAAAACCCTTCCCTTTTGAATCGTTGATCGCTGACGGCGCCGAACCAGTCTTGCTGCTGAAGAGATAGCACCGTTCTAGGTCGAAGTCTCACCGTTGCCCAACTAGTCTCCCTTTCTAACCCTTTATTTTCTCCCTCTCTTATTTGCTGAATAGCAACAGGACTTTTTTTTTAATAAATATTTTTGGTGGTTGGCGCTACAACATTTTATTTTGGCGACTATTTCTTTTTGGATTATGTACATACGCATGGCTGATTCAATTAAATTTATAAAAAGTTATTTCTAACCACTCGAAAGATAAAAATTATATTAAAATGATAATTATTTTTTATTTTTTATTTCTTAATCAAATTATTTTTTAATTTTTTTAAAAAAATTCTACAAATCAAATTATACATAGCCTAAGAATCTTTTGATAAGTCATTTCTAAAGTTGGTAACTTATTTAATTATTTGTTAATTTTAGGACATTTTTACCATCAAGCCTGTTTGGTAACCATTTCGTTTTCAGTTTTCAATTTATATTTACAAAATTTTTTAAAACTGTAATAAAAACTTGTTTGATAATTTTTTTAGTTTATAAATGGTTTTCTCAGTTTGTAAATTTGAGGAAAAAACGTAAATTCAAAAAATGAGCTTACGTTGATTTTTAAACAGAAATTTAAAACCTTTACTAACAAATTTTTTTTCAATTAATCTTTTTTTTTCAAATAATTTTTTTTTTCAATTAATTTTTTTTCCAACTAATACAAACCAAGGGGGGCAATTGGTAATGCTACTTTAAACCTTAGAGAGGGGATTGTAACTTCTAAAATGTGAGGGGTGTCAATGTAATTTACCCAATGAGGGCAAATTTGATATTTAAAAAAATTAAATTGCTGAAGGGGAGAATCTGTAATGAAACTTTAAACCTCAGGAAGGGAGATGTAATTTCCAAAAGGTGAGGGGGGAATTGTAATAAATATAAACCTCAGGGGGGTGTCAGTGTGATTTACCCAAAAAAAATTAATTGGAAAAAAAATTATTTGAAAAAAATTTTTGCTAGTAAAATTTTTTAATTTCTGTTTAAAAACCAACGGAAACTTATTTTTTAAATTTATATTTTTTCCTCAAATTTGCAAACTGAGACAACCATTTATAAACCAAAAAAATTATCAAACAAGTTTTTATGATAGTTTTTAAAATTTTTGTAAATATAAATTGAAAACTGAAAATGAAATGGTGAGCAAACAGGTTTTAGATGGTAAAAATATTGTAAAATTAACAAATAATTAAATAAGTTACCAACGTTAGAAATGACTTATCAAAAGATTCTTAGGCCATATATGGTTTGATTTTTAGAATTTTTTTTTTAAATTTAAAATTAATTTGGTTAAGAAATAAAAAATAAAAAATAATTTTCATTTAAGGGTAAAAAATAATTATCATTTTAACTTTTGAGCATGTTATATACATATGTATGGCTGTTTCAATTTAATTTGTAAAAAATTATTTCTAACCACTCAAAAAATAAAAATTATATAAAAGTGATTAAAAAGTAATAATATTTTATACAATCACACCTATTTACAATCACACCTTTTTAATCACACCTTTTTAAATATATACATATATATATATATATATATATATAATCACACTTATTTAAAAAGTGTGCTTAAAAGGTAGTAATGTATATATAATCGCATTTTAATTACATTGTGTGATTAAAAAATACATAAATAATCACACTTTAATTAGAATGTGTGATTAAAAAAATATAAATAATCACACTTATTTAAAAAGTGTGATTAAAAAGTAATAATGTATATATAATCACACTTTAATTAGAATGTGCGATTAAAAAATATATATAAATAATCACACTTTAATTAGAATGTGTGATTAAAAAATATATATATAATCACACTCATTTAAAAAGTGTGATTAAAAAGTAGTAGTGTATATATAATCACACTTCAATTAGAAGGTTTGATTAAAAAATGTATAAATAATCACACTTTAATTAGAATGTGTGATTAAAATATATATAAATAATCACACTTATTTAAAAAGTGTGATTAAAAAGTAATAGTGTATTCATAATCACACTTTAATTAGAATGTGTGATTACAAATATATATAAATAATCACATTTTAATTAGAATGTGTGATTAAAAAATATATATATAATCACACTCATTTAAAAATGTGATTAAAAAGTAGTAGTGCATATATAATTACAATTTAATTAGAAGGTGTGATTAAAAAATATATAAATAATCACACTTTAATTAGAATGTGTGATTAAAGTATAAATATATAATCACACTTATTTAAAAAGTGTGATTAAAAAGTAATAGTGTATATGTAATCACACTTTAATTAGAAGATGTGATTAAAAAAATGTATATGTAATCACACTTAATTGAAAAGTGACATAAAATATAAATATTATCACACTCAATCAAATTAAGTGTGATTAAATATCAATCTAATTTTTTTTATCGCACCTTCAATAAAAGTGAGATATTTTTTTTTATCAAAGTGTGATCTTTAACTATTTTTATAGTAGTGATTCTTTAAAAATAAAACAAACATATCCATGAGTTTTCTTTTAAGTAAATAGGGTTCAGAAATAAAACCACGTAACTGAAATGTTTATATAATTTATAATAGTTTATAAAACATAACTTGTATAAAATAAATATGATAAGTTAAAACATAAGTAAAATACATTTTGATAACTCAAGATATAATACAATTTACCTTAACTTTAATACCTTATTCTTTCTTTCCACTATCAAAAACTTTTTTAACTTCCACCATTTTTTTCCTATTCCTTTCTTTTCATTCCTTCCTTCTTTTCTTTTCTTTTCTTTTCTTCCCAGGTGAAACGGTTCCTCTCTGTTTATAGGGCGAGAGAGCAGACGTGGTTCGTGTCAGGTTGGATTAATAATTATATATATTCGTTCTTATTTTTAATAGATATTTAAGACAATTATTATTTGACTTAATATTTTAATATAATTATAAAAATAAATTAATTTTTAATTAAATTATATTTTATTTTATATCAATGAAAATTTATTTATTTATTTTAGTACCACACCTATTATTATTATTATTATTATTTATATTATCTATATTATTATTATTTATATTTTGACCCCTAAACTTTTACTAATTATATTGTTTTACAAAATTACACATAATAATATATAATAAATTATATATTTTTCGAACTGAGATTAAATAATATTAGTATAAATTCTACAGAATAATTAAAAATCTGGGTTGTTACAGGATAGAATAGTCCCATATTTGTGGGACTAATAGTTCGGAGCAAAAAAAATAAAACAAATAATCACCCCCTAATTCTTCAAAACAAACACACCCATACATACATGTGCTTATTTTTTGTAATATTTTTGAGATCTCCAGTGTTGCTCATCTATTAAGCTTGTTTGGTAGAGGTTATAAGTTGCTTATTTCAGCTTTTAACGTAATTTAAGTTAAAATATTGTGTTTGGTGCAGCTTAAGTTAACTAGCTTATAGCTTAAATCAAGTTATTTCTCAGCTTATCTCAAAAACTGGTCAGGGGGTGCTTAATTTTTTGACTGAAGCGTGCAGCTAGTGTGGGGGCTAAAATTACTTAAATGCCCTTGTCAATACTCAAATATTAATATTAATTAATATTAATATTAATTAAAAAATAAAAAATTGTATATTTCTGAAGAAAAAGAAAAAAAATCAATATTAATTGAAAAATAAATATTAATTGGTATTAATTATTAATAAATTCATATTGTATATTTTTATTTTAATTAAAAAATAAAAAATTGTATATTTCTCAAGAAAAAGAAAAAAAATTAATATTAATTGGTATTAATTGTTAATAAATTAATATTGTATACTTTTGTAATGAATTAATTATTAATTGATACTAATAAAAATTAAATATTAATATTAATTTATACTAATTAATAATTTTAGTATTAATTGATACTAATTAAGCAATTAATTAATACTAATTAATTTATAATGGAAAATAATTGTGACAATAATACTTCCATTCATTTTTAGCAAATGTATCAATTTTTAAATTAATTGATACTAATTAATACTAATTATATTAACTTTTATTAATGAAAATTAAAATTGAAAAAAATCACAAAATAATTATTTTTATATCATATAAGGGTAGAAAGGACAATTATATAGTAAAAATGTATTTTACAACTTATTAACCAAACACTACTCTGCTGCTTAAATTCATAATCTCACAGCTGCACCAAACAGGTTAACAGCTTATGTTCACAGCG